TGCAGCTATCAATGATGCGTGTCGCTCAGCATCTAAAATCTGCCGGGCCTGAGTCTGTTCATAGGTCTCGGCAGCTCTTTGCGTTGCGTGTCGCTCAGCATCTAAAATCTGCCGGGCCTGAGTCTGTTCATAGGTCTCGGCAGCTCTTTGCGTTGCGTGTCGCTCAGCATCTATAATCTGCCGGGCCTGAGTCTGTTCATAGGTCTCGGCAGCTCTTTGCGTTGCGTGTCGCTCAGCATCTAAAATCTGCCGGGCCTGAGTCTGTTCATAGGTCTCGGCAGCTCTTTGCGTTGCGTGTCGCTCAGCATCTAAAATCTGCCGGGCCTGAGTCTGCTCCTCAGATTCTTGGGATCTAGCTACTTGCGCAGTTCGAGCTCTTTTAGAGCTACGCGCTAAATTAGATTTACGCTTGCGAGGCATATTACTTAACCAGTTACCTACCTAAAGTAATAAAAACAGGTAAGTACTTATGCAAAAAAAAATTCTTTAGCTGACAAAAAAATTTAGTTAAAGGTACTGAGTACGAAACTATACTTAAGGTAGGTACTTATACACATGAAATAAAACAAAAACAAAACGAATTGCTAAACTAAAACTAAATGTTAAAAAAAAATATACTATCCACATGGAATAAAAACAAAATGAATCGATAAAATTATATGCGAAACTACTGGAACTATTTTATTCACAAAACAACATTACTTACCTATTAATACTCAATAAAAACTATGCTGACCTTCTTAGGTACCGTAACTACTTACTAAATGTGAAAAAACTTAAAAAACCTGCCTACTAATCTATTACAATTTTATACCTATCCTAAAAAATGAATTAAAGTATTTATTTTACCTATTAACTATAATTCTACCTACTACTAACTTATGCTAAACTAATAATAACAACCAAAACAACTAAGTAAATAACACAAAATGCTTATCCAAGAAACCCTAAACACCAATGAAAACGTAAAGAAAGCGAATACGTTGCAGCTCAAAATTGTAGATATCGCATGCGTCCGCCAACGACGTCTGCCCTCACGTATCTGCCCGTTCGGGTAAGCATACTTTGTGATCTACACTCCTCCCACCGAGCCATCCGCGTCCCCCGCACGTCTTTGCCGCCGCGCCGCGTAGCGCGCCCGCGCCCGCCAGCCCCGCCACACCACACCATGCATCGTCACACTTACACATTCATAGTGTATAGGCCGATGGGCCTGATGGACATGTCAGGCAGAAAGTATTCTAAAAGCTGGCTAGGAGTATTTGAATTATGCGATACATAACTGCACCCCGCGTTTTCACCCGCATAATTCCGGGATCGGGATCGGGATAAAAAGTAAAGATGTCCTTTCCCAAGGTTCCATCTATCTCTATACCAAAATTCATCAAAATCGGTTCAGCGGTTTAGGCGTGAAAACGAAACAGACAGACTGTCTATGTCTTTCCCCAAGGTTCCATCTATCTCTATACCAAAATTCATTTAGTAGGCATATACGATACATAACTGCACCCTGCGTTATCTATCACTCGCATAATTACGGGATCGGGATCGGGATAAAAGGTTGCCTTTGTCCTTTTCCAAGGTTCCATCTATCTCTATACCAAAATTCATTTAGTAGGGATATACGATACACAACTGCACTCTGCGTTTCCACCCGTATAATTCCGGGATCGGGATCGGGATCTGGATAAAAAGTACCCTATGTCCTTTCCCAAGGTTCCATCTATCTCTATACCAAAATTCATCAAAATCGGTTCAGCGGTTTAGGCGTGAAAAGGTAACAGACAGACAGACAGACAGAGTTACTTTCGCATTTATAATATTATATAGTATATAGTAGGGATCAATAGGTCTTTAATTATTTATTCACGTTTTTCAAATTCAAATTCATTTATACATATAGGTAACACAATGTACACTAATTATGAACGTCAAAAAAGAAATAAATATTAAATGCTTCTAATTTTACATTTACTGCCAGTTCTCAAATCAAGGGCGTAGAACGGAAGAGAAGAACTGGCAATAAACTCTCCGCCACTCTTTTTAATCGCCAAGTTTTTTGTTTTACACAACGTTTGTAAGGAGCTGCACCCTTTACACCATGTTCCACAAGACATCTTAAGTCATTTAAAATAATAAAATACATTAAAAACAAAGATTAGTCCTCTATCAGCAGAAGGCATGATGAAATAGAAGCACGCACTTACATTAAAATTGTTTCTGTTAGATATTATGGCCCTGTATAAATAAAAGATAATGATTCCGCAATTGAAAGAAAGTAATAAGTCGTTAACCGCAAGTGTAAACATTTCCTTTAAAGTAAATAAATGTTGCGGTCGCATAAATCTTTACAAGAAATATCTTAAGAAATCATTTACTTTTTTGTACTGGCGACAATGATTTTAATCATTTCGTATGTGAGTTTGATTTTCGGGCGCTTAATAATGAATTTGTTTTTGGTGATTACAATTACTGTCTGTTGCCTCTAATTTAAAATAAATCATTCAGTGTGTACTTCACACGCCCTGTTCAAGAAATCAGTGCTGCTACTTGATAATATTTTCTTCTTAATATACGATTTTTCAATGTTTTAAAATTCCGTAGGTAGTGATTCGAACGTAATAGCTGAGAGCCAGTAGGCCAATACTACTCAGTCATTCCCAATGATATGCTTCCAAATCACTTTTTATGTGCATATGTGAGTGTTTAGCTAAATGGTTTTTTCACGTTCGTTATATTTACTAGGAACGTTAAAATAAAATCGTTTGCTAACTGTCACAGCTTATTAACAAATTGTTTTAATAGTTGGCTCTAATAATATCAATATCGTTGGACCTGTGTCTCACGTAAGACTTCTAATGGTGTCCCGTTAATTGCAGTCGAGTTACAAATACTAATAATAATGGCCAAGTAACATAAAAATCACAGTTGTTCTTCTAAAAAGTTATAAAATACCTAATACAATGTCAATTTAATGAATTTGTAATGCATAAGTTCTATGGTCATAATAAGTTAATGTATATTCAGCTGTATATGTCAGCCACTATTATTTGGTTTTCAAGTTTAAAATCGTATACTATACGTATATATTTATATATATTTAAAGAGTTAATATTTATTTAAAGAGTAAATACATATCTTTCATCTATATAACTTATGGTATTTCATATTTTAAGTAAAATAGAAAATAGAAGATGTAATAGAAACATGATTACCGTACAATTTTAAGAGCAAATTTGGTACAAAGCAAAATTGCTAATACTTGTCTGTAGGCGCATATAGATTTAATAATAATTTTAGAGACGGAAATCATGTGTCTTTTGTTTAATATTATAATTAAGTGAGTAATTCCAAAAATCATCCTTAAAGTTATTTATTTATTTTCAAATACACTTCAATTTATTTAATTTTAATTAACATACCAACCTTAAACTTACATTTGAAAGTGTTGATCATATTTTTGATCCTATAATGTTTGATAATATAAACCTTATGATAACTTAAATGCATTCAACTCTTCACTACTAGCGTAACTTTCTCAAAAAATATTTTCTGTATATTTAAGATAAGTACAATAATAATAAGGATAGAATATGTAAAAGCTATTATACTAAACATTCATAAAATTTGGGTTTAATTAAGGAGTTAAGGGCCTACCGTAATTTTAATATCATGCTGCTATCAAATACAATGAGAGATATATCTAAGACTATTTTGTAAATATAATTTTCTACTTTGTTACTCCTAACTTTTATTTGGCTAAAATTTGATAGGAGCTTAATTTATTATGTAATTATGCACTATTAATACTAATTTAATACTCCAGAATTGAATTGCTATTTTCCAATAGTATACTCGTACTAGAAATTTGTAAGATTCATTACTTTCACTCAGATAAAGAAAAATACAAGGTTTCAAATTCAGTACACATTGAAGTCATACATAGATCTCGACTTTGAGTCTAACCATAAGGCAGTGATGCCAACTCCTTCAGAATGTTCCCCCTAAAACCACCTTCAAATATCCCTAAATATAAAAATCCCTAAAGTTTTTGTTGAACACTCAGTTTGAGAGGTAACTTCAAACATACACGAAAAGTACATTCAAGTGATATAACATTTCGATCTTGGAGTATTATGGCCTGATATTTCAGTTGATTGGGTTCTAGGCTTAATATAAATTATATAGAATCGTGCGCTTTTTAAGATTTTTTTTGTGTACCTCCTAGATAAATGTACCTCCTACTTATCCCCCCAAGACATCTCGATTACCCCTAAATTTGGGGGGAAACCCCCAAGTTGGCATCACTGCCATAAGGGTAAAGGGACACAAGGATAACACAATATCACCCTTACTATTAAAAAACGTAATGGCGATACGATGTCTTGTTCTTGGGCACCTTACATCAGGTGAGCCTCCTGCCGGTATATAACAGGGGTTATATTATATAAAATAAATAAAAACCATTAATATTTCGTATTTCTTTATTTATAATAAAATAAATCTTTAAAACTTATACACATCAGATCAAATCAACCGAACATTTTAGACTAGAGAGTAATATTGAACTGAGATTTGAAATAATTAAAAATTAATAACGTTTACATAAAATATTTACAAAATTATATTTACTCAATCAGAGTGAAATAAATGATTTAAATAATTTATCTTCTTATGCCAAACCAGGATTCACACTGTAAAAATTATTGTTACCTTAAAGCCGAGTTCAGTAAATATATAACGTAAACTTTTAATAAGTTATAAATATAAACTATGACTCTGATTAAGTAAATATAATTGAAAATAAACGTGTTAAAATTAAAATAGATTTAACGGACCAACGCAATCGCTGCGTCGACGTACGAATTCTAAAAGATTTTTACAAAAACATACGTAGCACGCGAAAAGAAACGTGCACTATACTAACTATGTACAATCATGAATACTGTTTTAAATTAACTATTTACAAAATGTCATATAATGCCATACTTTGGTCAAGATCAAATGTCGCACTCGAATTCAGAGACCCTTTTGTTCCTTCCGTCGGGTGTCATCTGAAAGTTGTTCGCGTTAATCCTAGGGAAGCCGTTGAAGCTGTTCCTACTCACGAGCGGGTTCTCTCTCTCTCTGTCTCTGTGGAAGCTGGACGTTGAGAGCTTCTCCTTCTTCTCGAAGTTGGGGTCGTTGAAGTTGCCGTCGTAGTTCCGGTCGAAGGTGATGCCGAAGCCCCCCATTCGGGGAGTTCCGATGCCGAATTTGTTTCTCAGTTCCTCGTCGCGGAGGTTGAAGGCGCGGTTGTCAAACTTTGACGGACCGGTTTTTAACCTGACAGAGGTAAATAGAAATTTTATAATAAACGATTAATTAGACGTTATTTTAGCTAAGCATTACAATTAAAACAGTGCTTCAATAACATTTTAAAAATTCTTGACTAATAATAATTTAAACTAAAACCTACATATATATATTTTAAGTAACATAATATATGTTTTAGTTTATAATGAGAATCGCAAATGTTAACAATCATCTTACACTTGAAGACAATACATTGTAAAACGTCAGTTTTTTAATTGTAATATTATGTAACATTCTGGTTTCCGATAATGTCCAATAGGTCGACATCGCTTATATCCTTTATAGGTAACAGATGTGACACTTAGTTTAAAGAACCCATAAGTAAGTCAAGTTTCAGTTTTCATAAGTCCAACGTCGCAACGTCTTATAAATAAAAAAATCAAAATACGTTTATTCAGTTTATATTCGTCTTAGCGCATGCTTATGAATGTCAAAAACGTTTACAAAATTCGCGAAAGAGCAAGGCTACGCCATAAGATCTTTATTTTAAACGATTTAAGATAGTTGACACTTAGCTTCAATCAAAGAGTTTAATTGATTTGAACTTAACTCCCTTAACAAGATTTTTTTTCAATGTTTAGTATATGAGATCGGTGAATAACAGTTTTCACTCACTCTCGAAACACGCGCCTCTCCCTGTCGTACTCCGCAGACAGTCCGTCGTCATCGTTTATAATGGCCGAGGGGTCGCTGTAGACCGAAGACTCCTGGTAAAACGAGTCTAGATCAACGTAATTCCCCTCCGACGGCTCGTTGTCCAGCAGCTCCGCCAGTTGTGCCTTCAGCTGAGCGAAGGAAGGTCTCTGGTTCGGGTCCGCGTGCCAGCAGGAGTGCATGGCCCGGTACAACTGGGGTTTGCAGTGCGGGGGCCGCTCTAGGCGATAGCCCTCCGTCACTGCGGTTAGGACTTCGCGGCCCGTCATGGCAGCGTAGGGGGTCGAGCCTGGGAAGTCAAATAATATTAATAATTCAGACAAAACCCAATTAACGATATATTTACTCATTTTATTTTGTCCTTAGCCACTCATTGATCTTCGGTGTAGCGCGCTGGCATTGTTTTAATATAGTTTGTTAAATTGAATGTTATTTTATCATATCTGGTAATAATTTTCTTCTTCGCGCATCTTGACGTCAATATATATATATATATATAATGTACTAATTAGAAATACATATATAATTTTTACATATAAGACGCTCACGTTGGGTTCGTCTCTCAGTGAAATTATACAATTCGTAGCCACTATCGCCTTTAAAAATAGATGAATAACAAAAACACACATTTGCGTTCTATTCCATTTTCTATTAAATGATTGAGATATTAACAAGAGTGAAACGGACGATTACAAGTTATACAATCAAAGAGGCATCTCTTCTTAATAAGCATGACTTGCATCTGTCATTCAAGAATAGAAAAGGAGTGAAAGTGAAATGAAGTGATTATTGTCGTAAGATGAATTTTTCTTCTCTCTATGATATATTTTAGTGAAATACTTATAAGAACATGCTAAATAAATTAAAAATTAACCTGGCGTTTGCAAATGAATACAGAACAATTGTACGAAACGAGTCGTAGTTACCCTGAATAATTTTATAGTTCTTGTTTGGTATAGAATATTTAGGATTTTTTAAGTTTCACTTATAATATAAGAAATAAATTTCGTGTAGTTATGGGATCATCTTTGTAAATATAGAAGTGCTTTTGAAATCAATTTTACCACAACTTTATTTTTGAAATTAATATATTATTTTTCTGTAAAATTAAAAAAAAACTGTTAAGTGTTGATAAACAGTTACAAACTATTTTACTTTAAACAGTTGTTGATTTTGATATAGTTGAACCAACTCACCCAAAGTGACGATCTCCCACAGCGTAATGCCGAAGGCCCAAACGTCGGAGTGGTGGCTGTGGGCGTCGTAGAGAAGGGCCTCGGGCGCCATCCAGCGCACGGGCAGTGCCCCTCGAGGGCTTCGCAGAGATGCGCCTGCGCAGCGTGACATGCCGAAGTCCGCGATCTTGCACAGCTTATTGTGGTCCACCAGCACGTTGCGAGCTGCGAGATCGCGGTGCACGATCTGATGACAAGGTAGAGATGAGATTAGTAAAGAGAGTAAAGCTATTGAATTGAATGGAATTGCAAATGAGACCCACCCCCTTAGAAGCTATGTAGTCCATGCCCCTGGCCACGCAGTAGGCGAAGACGGTGAGGTCTCTGGAGGTTAGAGCTCCGCTGCCGCTGAATCGGTCGGGCCGGGAACGGCGCTCGCGCAGGTACGTCAGCAGCTTGCCGCACATCACGTACTCCATTATCAGCAGGTAGGGCTCTGGGGACAAACTCACGTTGTGAATCTTTTTTCATTAGCAAAGTTCATTTGATTCAATTCAATCATTTTTTGAAGTTATACTTCTTTTGGCGCGTTAGGGAAAAATTACGAAAGTAAATTTTTAAGATGCGCGCGCGAACCGTCACAAAAACCGACACCCTTAAGTTAATGTGTATCAAATGTCCATTTCTTAAATTATGTAGAAATATTTTTTTTGTGATATTATTCATTTATCTAGATAATGGGTTATAGTAAAACTTTCAATGTATTAAATAACTTTTTTCTTTTGTTAGTGTCGTTTTTTCTACAAACTTAGAATAAGGTGAAAGATATTTTATTTTATTTTTAAAAATATTTTTATCTTGTTACGCCAAAGAAGTATAATTTCTAATACATAGGTACACACATGTTTTTTGTTAAATTATAACATACATTTATAATGATTTTTATTAAAAAGTGTTCCGCTATCCTCTACGTAGAGAGATATATTACCTTGTTCGCTACAACAAGCGAGGAGCGTGACAACGTTGGGATGAGTACCAATCTTCTGCATGATGTATATCTCGTGTAGGAGCTCCTGCTTCTCCTTCTGAGAGGCTGACTCTTTGATCGTCTTCACGGCAACCAACCGAGTCAGCCCGTCGTGACCGTTCAAGTCGTCTGCTTCAGCTTTCCACACCTGAAAAGTTTGCCAACCGTAGCTCACGTAACTGAATAATAATTTACGAGTGCTTATCAGCAAAGCCTGAAAGTTCTATAAAAAATCTCTCAATCAACTTTGCTTTGATATCTATTAGATTTTTTATAGAACAGGGGGCCAAACGGGCAGGAGGCTCATCTAATGTTAACGCGAGTGCGTTACCGGCCTTTTAAGAATTGGTATGATCTTTTCTTGAAGGGGCCGTTCAAGTATTACGTCTTGTCATAAAAAGTAAGCAAACCTCTCAAAAATATTACATAAACGTATTCTTTTTTGTAGGAATCACCGAAAATGCATTTCATTTTCAAGCATAGAAAATGTGTGGGTAATATGTGACGTAATCACCAAATAAGAAAATCAAAAAAATCAAATTCAAATGAATTAATTAACACTAACCTGCCCAAAATTGCCCTGACCTAACAGCGTTTGCAGTCTGAGCTTATTACGTGGGAATTCCCACTTCTGGTCTGGTTTAGTAGGCGGTGGTACAGGTGGTCGAGCCACGGGCGTGATTTGCGATTCTTTCTTAATATCCTCTCCATCATCAAAGTAACCTTCGTATTCGGTGTCGATCTCTTTTGTTTTCTTATTGAGAATGTTTCTTAGAACGAAACCCACTACCGCTATCACTGGAAGAAAACCGAGTCCGGCCAATACGTATGAAGCCGTGTACGTCTTTTCAGCTTCAATTACTACTTCATTTTGGGTGTCAGAACTGTCGTTTTTAGCTTGTGTCAAATTTGTTACACTTTTGCTTTCTGGTAGAGTGTTGTTAGAAAGTTGGAGAGACTTAGAGCTGCTCGATGAAGATCTCGAGGTAACCGTGAAAGATGTTATCGTAGTTTCCGTAATATACTTTTCGGTTGTTGTAGTTGTTGGTCGATTCGTTGAGGAGCTTACGAGAGATGTTTCATCGAATATGTAAACAGTTGGTCTGAATGTGCTGGTCGTGGACGTTGTTGTTGGTCGGCGACGCTTGAGTATATTCTTTGGTCGCATTGTGATTCCATTAGTGACGTTGTCATAGTCGTTCTGTCGGAAGAGATTCGCCAATCGTTCAGATATTTTAGATGTGCTGGATTCAGTTTTGAGGTCCCCATTAGATTTGTCACTGGTCAGCGAAGACATAACTGGCTTGTGTGTTACTGAATATGGCGCTGTTGTGTTATGAAAATGTGTTCCAGATGTTCTAAGTCTTATTCGATATCTATGAGGCTTAGGTGTTGTTGTCGTTGTGGTTGTTGTTGATGTTGTCGTTGATGTGGTTGAAGTCGTCGTCGGTGGAGTAGTAGAGGTTTTTGTTTCTACTGTCGTAGTTGGCATGGGTGTTGTCTCAGTCTCATTAAAAAATATCATTACTTGGTCGGTTATGTTTAATGTTTCATCAAAACTGTCAACTGATGTGGTATTATCCGGGTCCGTGGTTAATGAATCAGTTTTGTTAAGACCTTTTACTGAGGATGTAATAGATACAGATGTAACTACCGCAGTATAGACTGTTGTTGATACTTTTTCTGTTGTAGTATTGACTTCCGGAACTAAGCTATTTTCAGTGCTTAAGAGAGTAGTGACTTTTGATGGACGTCTACGAAGGTTGAAATAATTTCGGGTAAAGTTTCTAATAGGAGCTGGAGTAGTTAGTGTTTTAGTTAGAATACTTTCATTTATTGAAGTTACATTAGCATTTTCAACTTGCAGTATTGGTGTGGAATTTTTAGTATCACTAGTTAAATTTGAAGGAAGAGCTGTAACATTTTGGAAAAACGATTCACTAGTATTAAATTGGCCTGTAATTTGGGTGGAGATAGGATTTTTCCTATACGCATTGACTAATCCCACGTGCCGAGCTGGTGCAGGACCCTTTACAGTGTTTCTTATTTTGTTTTTCTCAATTATATTTTTTACAACAGATACATCCATATCTTCATTTATTTCTTCTTCACCTGCACTAGTGTTTTTATATTTTTCAGTTGCAGAATACCTCGAATTAAATTTTCTTTTTTCAGGTGGTGCAATTATAAAGTTCACCGACTTTGTAGAAGCTGATAATGATGGAGAATTCGTAAGATTATCACTGATAACTTGCCCTCCTAGTTTTTGACCAAAATAAATAAAAGGAGCCATTTCTTCATCGGGTAACTCAGTTTCTAGGGGTCTAAAGTGATTATAAATTTCTTCCGACATAAAGAGCGTTTGATTGCTTTTCTCTTTTTCACTTTCAACTTTTACAAGTTTCGTGCTTTGGATGCTAGTGCTATTTGCTATAGCATTGTTTTCTAGCTTTTCTTTTTCTGAATCGTTATTATTTATGTTTTTATCTTCTTGGTTTTCTCTTGAACTTGTTTCTGGAAGTGAACTTAATGTAGAATTTTCGTTGATCTCATTAGTAGTTGTCGTTTTATTTAAATCTAAAGGTGGCTGAGTAATGTTATCCGTATCTGAATAGTTTAATAAATATAGTCCATGGTTTGATTCGTCTACTTGAAACTCTTCTTCAGGATCTAATTCTACTCCTTTGTCTAAATTCTCTCCCTTTTCCGGTGGTACGTATACAATAGCACTTTCAGTCTTTGTTTCAGCAGCATTTTTAATCAACCTTCGATTATTTAGAAATCCGCCTCGACTCTTACTATCTTGATAAAGTCTAGGTACAAACAAATGTCTTATTTCATGTGGTTTGATATCTTGTTTTATTTCTCTGACACCGTCATTGGTAACGAGTCTCAAAGTGGGTGCGATGGCTTCATTACTTGAATTATCAAATGTGATTCTTTTGACGACGGAATTATTTGCATCACGAATTTCCAATTGAGCGAAAGTAGTGTTGCTTCTGAAACAGATAAAATTATCGTTAAATTTTGTATACTTAGACAATAGAAGCTTTTTTGATGGAGTGATGAATCTGAAATGAAGGACTCTCCATCCTTTAGAAAAGTTCTACATCAAAATAATTTCATCAATTACGTATACTAACTTGTGGGGTTTATGGGCTATTGAGGCAAGGGTATTGATATGACTGGTGAGTCGTCCCGTGAGCAGCTGTCGTCGCCTTGCTGCGAGGACTGACAATAGTTGAGAGTCTCTCGTTGCATTGGCACTGCTTTGTGTCGTTGTCCGTCGTGTTGAACCTGAAATCGACCGAATAATTTTTACTGAACTGATAAATACTATTCAGAAATCAGGTTAACTGACATGAATAAGTTAGACATGCTTAAGTTATAATTAATTATATACAATTATTTTAAGAAGAGTTGAGGTATGCGTATTATAAACACACATGTAAATATAAAACATTCATAGTAATATGAAATTTTCATTTTATTGTATGGTAAAACTTATACATGGACGGTCTTACTAATAAAGAATTATGCACATCGTATAAGCCTGTTATAAGAAAAATGTTACTAATAATTTCTGAATTGACACGTTTGATGTATACGGCTGTTATAACAAGTGTCTGGTTTGTATGAAGACTTGTACAATGCTTATACAACGCCGAGGCCTAGTTTAACGGGTGTATAGGACGTAAATTGCGTTATTTGATCTGATTTCGCGTTTGACAGCATTTTTTGACTGTTTAGTTCAAGGAAAGATTTAAGTTTTTGTTGAAAATAGATTTTATAGATCAAATGGAAGATTTAGATAATATTGATATGCAGCTAATACATACGATTGAAAATTTGCCGCCTCCAAGGAAAGTCAAAACATACCAAACTCGGTGCAATCCGTTATTACCTTCGGATGGCGATTTCAAAACAAAATACAATTTTCAAAGAAGTATGTTATGAAGATCTGTGACAGTGCGAGCTGATGTCGAAAAGAGTAATAGAGGTGGATGGTTTTCGATTTAGGTGTCTTCTTCATGGCTTCTCAGTGTCTTTGAAAATGCCAAATTATATATAGTAGCACTGGCAATCCTCCACAATATTGCTATTGATATGAAAGAAGACCTGGATGTTACGTATGATGACACTGAGAATGCTCCAGAAGAACCAAGGCCAACCTAGACGCCCCCAAGCAATCAGGCTGGACAAGCTGCTAGAGCTGCTTTTATTGAAACATATTTTTAAAGCTGTTTTATTTACATAGGTGTGGATAGTTAGACGTGAAATAAATAAAAAGTTATATTTAATTTAAAACAGGGGTTTTATTTTTTTTATAAGTATATAATTATTCATTTAATTGCTGCTGTAATAGTTTGAGCCTTAGAAGATGCTCCTGTCTAGACCATTTGTGAGCTTCGGCAAGTTGCTTCTATTTGAGCTCATGTGTTTCAGCCATTTGCCTTAGTTTGGTTTCATGCTCTTCCTGCAAACACTGGAACACTGCCGTGTTGCGGAGTTTGGCACTTTCCACTATTTGAGATGCCTAAAAAATTTAAGTATGATCGTTGAGGGCTTTTGAATGAAATAGTCCTTTTCTCTATCACATTGATACTAACCTCTCCCAACTTTTGTACTGCAGAACGTGGCTTTTTATGTAAAATTCTAGTCCTCTTTGTCTGAATATAATTGTTTTGGTTGCTTAAATAAATACAACTTACATTAGAATTATGACTTCTATCAGAATTATTAAGTCAAACGTCAATCAAACACGGCGGGTTGCCAGGGTAACAATAAATAAGGGTCGTTTAGTTATTCAACCAATACACATCGATTATTGGTCAAAGAGGTGTTTATGCCCTGTACAAGCTCTATTCACTGAATAACTATCACCTTGTTATAACTCATGCATAGTGATTTTTTATTAGTAAGACCGGGAGTGTGTACAAAAATTTGACATTTAGTATAGTAGTATGTGATACAGAAAATATTCTTATTGTGCAAAAATAGTTTAATTATAAATTACTACATAAGTAATCATAAAGTAAAGTACAGTTAACATGTCAAAAGGAGAGACTGGCTGCCCACGACACAGGGAATCATAGCCCCCACGGCTAGTGCACTTAATTTTACCTAAATATCCTGTTATTGTGTTAAATAAAGTTTCTTTCTTTCAGTAAATATTTTACAGCACAAGCTGGAACTTATAATTAAAATAATCGGATCTTACGGGTGTATGCCAAGGTTCAAGACGTTTTAAAATGATAATGCTTTTGTTTCAATGGGGTGAAGGATCCGTAGTCTTGATTATATACAATTATTATCGCGTTTTCGTCACGCTATATGCCATAGTCGTTTAGAAGGCAATTGAATGCTAAGAAATAATATCTTATCTTTGGTATTTACTATTAATAAGCTTTGAAACCATCTCAAATAGCGTTTAATCGCATGGCATTCCGAATCCTGTCACACCTTGAAGTACTACGATCAGTTTTCCCAGACCAACGCTTTAATTGACAACAAGTTTTTAATCAAGTTCTTAATTTTAGGTGTGTCTTTGTGTGCTTATTAATGAATTGTAGTTGACACAAATACAGTATTAGAGCATTATAAATTCGAATGACGTTATTACAACTGTAATTAGTTCTGTTAATTTAATTCACATAAAACAAGAAACTATTGCATATTAATATATTAGTAACAATAAACAATAATTCCCAACAAAACAATTGGTTTCCGCGGTTGGCAAAAAAGTCGAGTTATGCATTGTTCGTTGGTTAGTTAATACCAGCTCCAGCTTGGCCGCAATTTGTAAACAAAATTAAACAAATTTACAAAATTATAATAATGTTAAATAATTTTAATTTTTAATAGTAGAGAATGTTTGCTTGGTTTAACGTGCTAGCCAGGATCTACTAGTTCGAATTGAAAAATTATTTTGTTCATTTAGCGAGGAAGCCTATTGTCAATAATATTCTACGACCGAATTCAAACAAAAGTACAATAGCGGGGCATAGCTAGCTTAAATATAATGATATGTTACTTCTAATCAATCTATTATCATATGTACTCCTAAATATTATTTCATATCAAATATTATTTCATATCAAAGTACGAGTTATATTTTTTTAACAAAAACAAACAATACCGGACAATGCTCGGTGGAGCTACACAATCTAATCCCGTCATCCCCTTTTAAACAACGCTCATCTAGAAGCACGCTGGAGTTTAACCCGTTCGTTATTAACACCCCCAGGTGCCAGGTGCAAAGAGAGAATCCGCTTGCCCCATCTTCCCTAGACAGTATAATATGGATTTATTTAAGCGGCAGTTAAATAGGCAACTGCAGGACAGGAGTGCCTTCCATTAGGCCACATCTCACTTAACATCGTTGCGGACTAAAGTCTGTCCAGCTGTCCAATAAAATAATAATACTTAACTTAGTATTTTTTTTAATTTGATATTGTATGAGAAAATAATTGTTAAACTTCTTTTTGTGGTCATTCTATTACGTACATTAAATTTTTATGGATTTAAATAAAGTTTATTTTTTTATTTAATACTAAAAATATACCGAATATAACATATTAATATGCGTGAGGTCGCGTGCGCAAGCGCATAGCTGTCCTCATTGTCGGTCACTGCACGGTTCTAGGCTGACTAGGCACGTGATAGTTTAATAATATGTATATGTCGATAAGTGGCAAACATATTTTAAGGTAATTTATATGAACATATTTATGAAACGAAATCTACATTAATAATAATTTAACGCAGGAATGTATTTAATATTCTCAAACATGAAGAAGCCATTAAAAATAATATTTACGTTATGAAGTTATGCTTAGTTTAAGAACGCAAATCTTACCTAACTTAAAACATATTAAACTTAATATGTATAGTTATGGTTGTGTGATAAATAAACACAAATAAAAATGTGTATATTCATTATAACAATGCCTTTCAATGTGTAAGATTTGGGAACCCTTTTGAGGACAAAGACCTACACAGTTGCCTGGTTATTTACGAGGCTCTACAACCAATGATAAATTATCGATACTCAATCAGCATTGTTAGGCCCACACTATTAAACAAGTAGTGGGACAAACTGTAGTGCGTGCAAAAGTACTTATGTACTCAAAATAAGGTCAGTATAATATACAATTGATATTAGCAGTTTATGTAATTGATACTCATTGCTTAAAATGTGTAGAAATAGACTTACAGTTTTAATCAGTAACCTAATATTCATCATCGGACGTCGAGGCAGAATACGAAATTACACCTGTAACACCTCGACGTCCGTCGTTCCAGAACTGAGCATTTTTTGCCGCCACTATGTCGACCCTGTCCACTGAAAAATTTCCGATCCAATTCCAATTAGGATCCTTCAAGAAAAGAGCGTACCAATTCTTAAAATGCAGGCAACGCACTCGCGAGCCTCCTCGAATACGTTTCAATCTGGTGTTTACATAAAATATATATGATGAAGGAAACTCCAATGTTATGCTGAAATGATTATATATTTATTCTAAAATAAGTTTTAAACAAAAAATCTTAACACTCATAATTAATTAAAAACTACGTGAAGACAAGTAAAATAATAAATAATTAATCAATTAGCAGAAGTAGCTATAGAAACAACATTAAGAGTTAGTTATTTCATAAAAGTTCGTCAAAACAATTACTTTTAATGTAATTCTAAATTAAAATCTGCAATCATTTAGCAAAAATTTTAGTGACAAGCCAAAACTCGCGTTTCCACAGACTAACAAACTCAATATTACAATTAAATAAAACGTCAGTTTTGACACGTGACAGATAATTAACAATCTTAAGAAGTTTTTTTTAACTTAACTTTACATAAAGATAGATATAAATCAACATATTAGAGAAATAACCTGTACCATACGCCATAGAGGCGGTAACAAAAGACAATACTGGGTTTGGTATTGCACAACGCAACAATATCAGTATGAATGGAGACCACACTGAATACTAAATGTAACTCACTCGCATTGTTTGATAAATAAAGACAGATAGAAACATAATGGTTTAAGAAATGTGTATGTTTTGAATATTGTCGAATCTTATCATGAGAACCTATGGTACATGTTTGCCTCTTAAATTATAAAATACGGTGATTCAAAAGAGTTCTAGAACTTTTTTTTGTGTCTATCTGATGTGCAAGGCTAACTAATAGCATTTTTAAAAGCTTGCAAGATTTATGCTTTATTTAATTGTAATTTATGTATTACATAATATGGGATATGTCGGAGTAATGGCGCTGGTATCAGCTGCCATTTTCATTGTAATTTAATAACATCAAAGTCAAATTAGTTAAAAACCGTTATATGGTTTATTTGATTTGCCAATATTAATAAATCTACTGATTAACTGACTTTTTGATAGTCTATAGTAATATGTTACTAGATCTATAAATTAACGACTATTCAATGGTCTAGAATAATAATGACTATGGAGTCATTAGGCAATAATATGTAATAAATAATAATAATAATAAAGCCATTTATTCCAAAACTTGCTTATGTTTTACAATGTTGTTAGTACTACTTAATTGCTTAAATTTAAAATGGTTACTTATAATTACCGTTAGTATTATTATTTATGTACAAGGTTTGGATCCCTGTTGGGTAAAGGCCTCCTCCATCCTTTTCCATGACTCCCTGTCTCTGCCTATTTGTATCCAGTCGTTTCCTGCGACGTGTGTTATATCATCAGCCCACCGTCTTAATTGTCGACCAACATTTCTCTTCCCCATGGGTCCTTTCCATCGTGTGGTTTCAATGGTCCATCTTCTGTCTCGGTATCGTGAGATGTGTCCAGCCCATCTCCATTTGAGTAAGAGTGCGTGCCTGAGAGCATCAGTTAATTTGGTTTTTTGACGAATTTCTTCGCTCCTAATTTTGTGTATTTTCCTAATTTTCAGCATACTCCTTTCCATTGCTGTTTGGTTACTTTTAATTTTTTGTTTTATTTTATTTGTAAAGGTCCAAGTTTGGCAGCCATACAGCAAGCAAGGTAACAGGCATGTATCAAATATTGTCCTTTTCATGTGTGAGCTGTAATTGCCTTTTAAGATTTCTTTTAATGCCCAGAATTTCTTCCAAGTTGTGTTGATTCTCCTTGTCACTTCTTCTTCGTTATTTGAAGTTTTGAAGGAAATTTGTTTGCCCAAGTATATGTATTGCCTGACGTATTCTATATTATTACCTTTTATCACTATCTGGCGCTCCCGATTGTTCGTTAGTATCTTCGTTTTATTTACATTCATTTCAAGGCCGATTTTGGAACTTTCGCAGTCCAGTGATCTCATCATTTCGTCTAAGTCTTTTGCAGTCTCAGCAATAACAGCAATATCATCTGCGAACCTCAGATTGTTTAAGTATTGTCCGTTTATGTACACTCCGCTGTTCTTCCAGTCTAGTTTTTGGAAGATAGTTTCAAGGACTGCTATAAACAGCTTCGGGGAAAGAGGATCACCTTGTCTAACTCCGCGTTCTATGTTTATTTCGTCGCCTCTAGTTTCTAATTTAACTCTGCTCGTGCTTTTGTATAGATATATTTCAAAACATTGATGTATTTCTGGTTGATATTTGAATATTGTAAAGCGTTCCAGATTGCACAGTGACTAATGCTATCAAAAGCTTTGCTATAGTCAATGAACGCCACATACAGAGGTCTATTGTATTCTCTGTATTTTTCTATGACTTGCTCTAATGTCTGTATGTGGTCCATTGTGCTGAAGCTTGATCTGAATCCTGCCTGTTCTTTTGGTTGCTGCTTATCAATATCGTCAGATATTCTCTTTAAGATTATGGATGAAAATAGTTTATAAATACTTGCCAGCAGACTTATGGGCCTGTAATTCCCTATATCTAAGGGATTTCCTTTCTTGAAGAGAAGGATTATATCCGATGTACACCACTGTTTTGGTACCTTTTCTTCATCTAGTATCTTATTGAACAATCGCGTAAAATGATATGTTAAAATGGGTGCTCCTATTTTAAGTGCCTCATTGCATATTCCGTCTGGTCCGGGACTCTTCTCGGCTTTCAGCTTTTTCATATGATCATAAACTTCGGAGTATTCAATTTGTCTGATGTGATCTGTCGTGTTCGTATGGGTTGTTTGCGATATGATTTCGGGGTTATTTTGTTTACTATATAAGTTTTTGTAGAAGTTAGTAGCGTGATTTATTACATCTTTTCTGGATTTTGTTTTTAGTGAGTTATTTTCAAGTTTTCGAATCCAGGACTTGTGTGTAGTTAATTCTTTGTATGCTTTTTTGGCACTTCTAAAATGTTTAATGTTCCTTGTAATAATCTCGTATCTGTGGTTGTTGTAGTCCTTACGGATTGATCTATTAGTCTCTTTGTATATTCTGCTTAGTTCTGTTTTCATATCTTTAGTTTTGTTCTTTGTGTGTAGTAGTTCCGTGCGCCTTTTTAAAAGTTCTATTGTGTCTTTTGAGAAGATATTGTGTTGGTGGGGATACATATTGGTTTTGTATTTTAAGCTCTCTGTTATGCCTTTTTCCAGGATATTGTAGTATGTTTGAATATCAATGCTGTCTGTTTTTATATTTTCTGTATGTTTTTGTAGATTTCCGATGTAGCACTTTATTTCTGTTTCTGTCTTGGGGATATTAGCTGGTGTTGTATAGGTTTTTCTGCTCTTTACTGGACTACTCAAAAGTAATGTTGCTCTCACTAATCTATGATCGGAAGAGAATTCAACTTTGTTAAGTACCTCAATATTAGTTATAAGTTTGTTGTGGGTTATCATAATAAAATCTATTTCATTTTTAGTTTTGTGGTCGGGTGATAACCATGTCCATCTAGAGCTTGCTTTTTTTTGAAAAATGAGTTCATTATGGATAGTTTATATTGATGAGCATAAATTAAGAGCCGTTCCCCTCTATCATTCCGCACTCCGTAACCATATTTTCCCATTACTGGATAGTAGTTTGTTTTTGGACATCCTATTTTCGCGTTGAAATCTCCCATGACAATGACCTTCCCTTCTGTCTTTGTGTGAGCAAATTCAATGTCTTTGTAAAAATTTTCAATTTCTTCTTCTGTTGATCTCTCTGTCGGTGCATATGCTTGGATTATTGAAAAAGAGAAGCAATCAAACTTCATTTGTAGAAGTGCTACTCTTTCAGA